ATAGTTGCAATGGTTTTCTAAATGTAAATAAGAGCAGTGGTGTAAATTAAAATCTCGTTAATAGAAGGATGCTACTACATTAACAGTGATTTTCTGAATCAAAATCTTGTTAATAGAGAGATGCTACTATAGTTATAATGATTTTCTAAATGTAAATGATAGCAATGGGGAAATTTTTCGGAATCGAATCAGAATATCGTTAATAGAGAGATACCACCACAGTTACAGTGATTTTCTAAATCAAAATATTGTTAATAGAGAGATGCTACTATAGTTATAATAATTTTGTAAATGTAAATGATAGCAGTGGTAAAATTTTTCGAAATCAGATCAAAATCTCGTTAATAGAGAGATGCTACTAAAGTTACAGTGATTTTATAAATTAAAATATTGTTAATAGCGAGATGCTACTATAATTGCAAATAATAGCAGTGGTGTAAATTGAAATCTCGTTACAGTAACAGTGATTTTCTGAATCAAAATCTTGTTAATAGAGAGATGCTACTATAGTTACAATGGTTTTCTAAATGAAAATGAGAGCAACGGTGAAATTTTTCGAAATTAAATCAAAATCTTGTTAATAGAGAGATACTACTACAGTTACATTGATTTTCTAAACGATAGCATTCAGTTATATGTTTTATATAGCTGGACATGTACTCATTTTGATACATATACTTTATTTTATATTTTTCTACACCTAGGTAAATCGATTTACCATATATACTTGATGTTACCCAAAATGGTGATGAAAATTATTATAATAAGAGAATCCAAAAGTCAGGCATAAAGATGGGCAGACGAAAACACTGACCTAATTTTATATCATCTATTTAACAAAAATTTTTCATTGTCAAGAACGAATGATGAGATTTCTCTTAAATTTTTAGGATCTTGAAGACTACAGAGTGACCAACGGCTCTATCGTGGGCTTCCCCGGAGCCAAAGCCTACGACGGTAATTTGTTGTACCACGAATGTGACATACTCGTCCCGGCTGCTACAGAAAAAGTAATTACCAAGGATAACGCCGATAAAGTGAAAGCGAAGGTAATTCCGTTCTACGCCGTCGATGCTTCATAAAAGTAATCGCGTTAATTCGCTTCCAGATTATTGCAGAAGCCGCCAATGGACCACTCACCCCTGCTGCGGATCAAATCCTACTCAAGAAGAACGTCCTCGTCATTCCTGACCTCTACGTCAACGCCGGTGGTGTGACTGTATCCTTCTTCGAATGGTTGAAGAACATCAACCACGTGTCTTACGGTAGATTGACCTTCAAATACGAAAGAGATTCGAATCAGCACTTGTTGCGTAAGTAATGATGATGATACTTAATTTTGTTGAGTATGAACTGAGGAAGCTATAGTATAGCGAAACATATGTTGCGGTTTTGTAAACTATTTCGGTCAATTGCATCACATATTTTAATTTTCGGCCCCTACAACTCTTCTGAACCAAGGTAGAGCGATCAAAATTTGTGTATATCATGTGCTTTAACATTTTGGGAAACCGAATTGCCCCCTTTTCAATTTAGGAATACATCAAAAGTACCTCAAGTATTTATTTATATTACTTTTTGATCGAAGTGAAGTCGATTACATTTTAAATAATTAGTAAGGTATTAGAAACCATCATAACTTGATCCTAGGAAATATACTGCACTATGTCATCCTTTTAATTCCCGTCGCTAGTGGTTTGTTTCAAATATTGTGCCCGTTTTTATGAGACCACTTTAAACCAGGTTGACTCTATTTATACTGATTTCTCTAAAGCCTTCGACGGGGTAAATCATGATCTTCTCATGGCTAAGCTCCTAGCATTAGGGATCAATGGTAACATGTCACAATGAATAAAAAGCTTTTTGGGGAATAGGATTCAGTATGTTAAATATGCTGGTTCGATATTACAAATTTCTGTAACGCCTGGTGTTCCTCAAGGATCGCATATAGGCCCAATACTCTTCATTATTTAGTGAACGATGTGACGGATGTCATACACCACAGTTATTACTCTATGTTTGCAGATGATTTCAAACTTTATAGGGTAGTAGATAACTTTTGTGATGATTGACTTCAATGTAAATTCAAGAAGAACCAGAGTGTCAGAGTTGTTCAAAGTTCCTTACCATTTTACTAGCTATGGCATAAATGAATCCATTACTACAATGTTTAGGCTAGCAAATAAGAATAGCACTTATATTGATTTATTCCATTCATCCTTATATTTTTAAGAAATCAGATTAATTGTATTGACCTACTATGATGAAAGTGCTGATTATTATTACGAATAATTAATTGATTTTTTGTACTCTTAGTATTCTATATTATTGTTCAGTTGTTTATTTTTCTCGGTGGAGTGTACGAAGACTGTGTAATTTTTGTTCTCGATTTGTGATATTATCTGCGATGAAAGTGAAGCTACTTCAGTTATGCCAAGACAGTTGAAAATTTTCTTTTTTCTTTTCAGAATCTGTACAAGAATCTTTAGAAAGGAAATTCAGTGACGTAGGTAAAATTCCAATTGTCGCCTCTGTATCTTTCCAAAAGAGAATTGCTGGTGCTTCTGAAAAAGATATCGTACACTCCGGGCTCAGCTTCACCATGGAGAGGTCTGCAAAGGTAAGCTTATGGACGTATTCAGTATTGTCTGGCAAATTTGAACTTTGGCTACCATCTGAAATTATATTTTTTTCTTCCGTCAGTAATTTGCTTCTGTTGCCGAAAATCATAATATTTCTGGGCGTATTCAGTATTGTCTGCCAATTTTAAACTTTGACTACCATCTGAAAATATATTTTTTTCTTTCGTCTGTAATTTGCTTCTGTTGCCGAAAATTGAACTATTTCTGGACGTATTCAGTATTGTCTGACAAATTTTAACTTTGGCTACCATCTCTTTCGCTACCAGATTTGTTTTTGTTAACTAAAATGAATTGTAACTTTACTAATATTGTGAGTTGATACTGTACATGTTTTGCATGTTAACGATAACTTTTCGTTTGTTAGTTTTGAACTAATTCTTTAACATTTGAGTTATATGAGTATTGAATATGCTTTTGATGATATTTTGGTGATCCAAAGACGCGGGTTGGCTTACGAATGCCTTCTGGCATGTCTGTAGCTCTTAAGAAAGAAAATATATTGATGTTAAGGTAACATGAAATAAAGATAATGCATATCTTGATTATAGGAAAGTCAGTAATATCAACTAATCAAACAAAACTGTTTTCAAATATACATCTAGGTGATGGAACGGAAGAGATTTGTCTCCTGTATTTCTCTGCAGCTTTTACTGCAAGGCAGAGCCCAAAAATTAAGCATTCCTAATCCGACACCAGTCAGCGCTGTTTCGACCTTCCTGAAAATCATCAGAGGTGCAATGGACTGGCTCTGAGAACATCGCTTATCATTGATATTCTCGGTTTGAATCTTGTGTCTGTTTCAAAGATGGCGTCTTTCTAAGGGAAGGTGTCTTCACGTCTACTTTCTCAAGCTTGTCCTTTAAAACGGTTGACTACAACAATTCTTTGGTGGTACAGCCGGGAACTACTGGATGAGGTCGATACAAAGATGTCTGGTGTTGGACAACGGAAGTTTTGTTTTTAGATTCTGCTTTCAACTAACAATTTATTGGCTCGAACTGAATATTTATCAATTTTTCTACACGACACATCTTTCACCAATCAAGTTGTTTTCATGGGGAGATTGATTATTTTTACTCTAATTTTGTTAGATGCTTTCCATTTTGCATCGTCAAATATGAACTGGACTCATAGTTACTCATTTAACAGAATAAAGAATTAAACAGGGTGTAACTGAATAAGTGTAAAACATTTAAGGAGGTGATTCCTCATCGAAAAAAAGATAGTATCTTTCATATGAAGAAACTTCATTGGAGCATCCCTTGTTAAGATACAGCCCCTTAAAGGGGGTACATAACATTTGTATAACAATTTTTTTCTCACAAGCACTGAAAAAGTTGCAATATTGAAATCAACCTGACGTTTTGTACCACCAAAAAGACACTTAGCCAGTAATTTATTTGGTTTACCCCATGGTTGTAAGGGGTAGAAAACGCAACCCCTAAAATTTATTTCAATGCAAAAAATTATTTTACGAACAAGTACAGAGATACATCGTCATGAATGCGAACTGGATTTATTGTTATTTTGTAGTTAGTACCTGCAATAAACGATAAAAGGGTAATAAATAAAACTAATTTATTAATAACAAAACACACAACATGTAGAAATCATAGTAAATATTCAATATGTCTACCTTCAGACATTACGCATGCGTCTAGACGTCGGCGCATTGAGCCACGTATTTGCTCAAATATTCCTGGAGTCTCTCTGATTACCCTGTGAACAGGAGTACGATAAACCAAATGCTGTAAATGGCCCCAAGGAAAAATAGTTACAGTCAAATACAGATGAGTCTTTGAAAGAAGATAAAAATGAAATCTCTTATCAAACATCAGTAGTTGAAGAGGAACATGATCCAATCTGAATTATATGTCATTTTTAATTATATGCCTATAAGAATAACATAAAATGTACGCTGTCTGTTCAGAAAATAAGGTGATTCCCATTTTTCTCAAAAAATATTTATCTATTCATCAATTTCTTTTTTGTCCCGTTCAAAGTAGATTCCTCAGATATGATACATTTGTGCAAGCGTTTTTTCCAACCCTCGAAGCAGTTCTGTTATGCACTATTTAGTATGTCCTTCAATCGTCGCAAAACGCCATCCTTTTATGGGTCTCCTCAAATTTGGGAACAGGAAAAAGTCGCAGGGGGGCAAATCTGGTGAATACGATGGCTGAGGAATGATTACAGTGTTGTTTTTGGCTAAAAAATTATGGACAAGCAATAACGAATGAGCACTATTGACCGTACTCCTTATTGGACTATGCCACAGTAATCAGAGAAAACAGTCAACAAAACCTTGACTTTTGATCGAACTTGGCGTGCTTTTTTGGACTTGGCTCTTCCAAAGACGCAAAACACTTCTAACTTTCATGCCTCTCACCAACAAGCTAAACATGCTAAACCAGCGTGTCGAATCTAGGAAGCGACCTCAAAGTCTCGGCTTAGGAGGCTGTGTTTGAGAGAAAGAGATAGAATTCTCAAGTCTCTTCTTCATTTCGAGAGAGGGTACCAACATAAAAAATGAAAAAATCGCTAATCGAACGTACGTTGCCGCGAGATTTAAACAGTCACCTCATTTTTTGAACTGCCTACGTATATGGCATTTTTTGTTGTAAAATATTTGAAATTTTGTCTACACTATGTGAACACAGTTTTTCTTAGTGTTTTCTGTTGTATGTGTCACCTCAAGATGCGAAGCAGGAGCCTCGAATTTCATAATAGTGAGCACTAAATTCTCAGAAATATTATTGCATTTGTGATTCTATATATTTCATCATCATTTTTCCTCATCCGTATGCCACTGCAAGAGACAGATTATGGCATAAATGTCACAGTCATTTCTGAGAATTTAGTGCCTAATATTATGGAATTCCAGCATAGATCAATAAAACTCACAATATCAGTAGTATTAATGAAGTTACATTTTGTTTTACTGGGTTACTGTACATCTTTTCATTGATATTTTGGCAAAAAAGCGCTCATATTGGATTACCTACAAGATGATCCGTCTTGTATGTTTTTTGGCTCAGCCAATTTGGAAATCTCAGAAAATCTTTATACTTTGTTTCATTCTCAGAATGAATTTTTCGTTCAGAAACTATGTAGTCAATTGGAAAAGGGGTATTTTTTGGCACTTTTTTTTTAATTCTGGATTACTTCATGAATTCTGTTATTCCAGTTTTTGTCGGTAATTTTGAACTCGTTTTTGGTACATTGTTTCCGCACTTCCCCAGTTGTTTTTCTTATTGAAAAAACTCAGTCATATCAGTAATTCTTGATGATTTCAAAAAAGGGATATGAATAGTCAATCTGTCTGCCGAGTTTGTTGTCCATGGACTTTATGCCTGACGTTTCATTTACGACTGCGGTAGACATTATTAAAGTTGACAATTCAATGGATGAATTGTTCTGTTTGCAACAGATGCTACATAATTGATTTGGGTCTACCCAACTATTTCACAGATGGTCGTAGGGGCTTTATGGTTATTGGTTGAAATAAATTACCTCTGAAATAAGAGCAATTAAGTGCAGGTAGCCAAATTTTATTTATGTCAATTCTCTATTCCTTTCAGCTGGAATTGTTTTTATGTTATTGGACTACCAGATCATCCCGTCCTTTTTTCATCGCCTCTGATAATGTCACCACAGTCGACCATAAAATGGATTCAACAGAGTTATCTTCTGTCATGAAAGTTCACGCTCTGATTTTTATTTTGTTCCACTTAGCTATCGTTAATCTCGAATCATGTTGTAGAGTAACAGTTTTCTATTTTCTAGTTTGTTCCGACAATTGAAACAATAGAGGCGAAACTGTAACAAAAATATAAACAAAATTTTGACATTGCTTTCTTATATCAATAAATCTGATATTTCTGCTTCACAAGACATTGACTTTGATGTTTTCTGATCCACCACTTTCTTTTTCACGTATGCAAGCTAAGGATAACCGAGGTCTTACATTTTAACGTGCGATTCCCAGCACGGAAACCTAAGATACTAAAGTAGTAATTTGCCACAAGTCTAATTTCTCAGTAAATTTCTCATTTTCTTCTCGAAAATGATCTGTAGCAATCAAGTGAAAGAGAAATAGGAAAGAAAGTGTTTTCTTTTCAGGCGATCAAGGAAACGGCTGAAAAATATAATTTGGGTCTGGATCTGAGGTCAGCTGCCTACGTCAACTCTGTTCAAAAGATATTCCTTACCATCAGCGATGCCGGGTTTGCCTATTGAGATGTATTATTGGATAAGGGACTTTTTTATCTTACCAACGGTTGTCAGACATGAGTGAAGAACGATAATAATAATGGGAACCACAATGATTTGTTTAGGAATGCACGATTTATATAATTTTTAGGCTAGCGAGTAGAGGATTGACTTGAGTTCACTTGGAATTTTTGATCTGGAGTAATCTTCAAGAACGGATTGTTTTGGTCTTTCTTTGATTTAAAGAATGCACCTATTATTTATTTGAGTAATGTACTAATACGATTTCTGGTAGATCACTTCCAATATTGATGGGATATATTTGTCAAATCAAAGATTGGAAATATATCCTTGATCTTACATAATCAAATATTCAAAGCTTCAAAAGAGCTTGTAGGATTTCATTAAAACCACCCGAAGATTAACTTAAGAGGCAATTTGTGTATTTATCCTTATAGATATATTCATCAAAAAAAACTTCACTTGTGTCTGACTCAGGTTCGATTAATTTTGTTCTTTAATTTTTATAATCCAGCTTCAATTAATCTCACATTCCTCTTCAACTCAGTGACCAGTTTAAGTTTTCAGCATTCCATTATCAACTCTGTTATTTATTTATCGATTCCTTGTTTTATGAAAGCATTTAATAAATTGTGTGAGATATTTTGCATTTTCATTTGTTATTTTCATCAAAATCAACTCTATAAATTTAAATTGATGAGTTGTCATTGCACCTCCACCATAAATGAATTCTTCAAGGTTTGGTAAAATATTAAAGTTTAATGGTGCTAAGTAATACTCTACGAAAGTTATACAGTTGTCATGAAAATTTGTACTTCCCTCAATTAAAAAGCCTACATCATGTATACACATTTATATCTTTCATTACACCTCCACCATGAATTCCTCAAGTTTTGTCAAAAAATTAAAGTCAGATGACGCTAAATCTGGACTATATGGTGGATGATCCACCAAAACTTGTACAGCAGTCACGAACATTTGTCAATTGAGAAGCATGCATCATTTACGAACATTCCCATCTTTCATTACACTTTCACAATAAGTTTTGATAAAGATGAAATTCTGATGGTGCTAAGTCTGGGATGTATGGTGGATAAACCAGTAATACCCAATGAAAATTGTCATACATTTGTTCTTTCATAAATAAAAAGCCTACACCAATTATGTCATTTCCATCATTTATACGAAAAGCAGTTAAATTTGGATATTTTAGGATGAAATTTTGAAATAATCCTAGATCATAAACAANTCCATCATTTATATTTCGAGGTGTCAAAAATAACAGATTGGTGTTGTGATAAAAGTCCAGTAGTATTCATTACTTTAATTATTGTACATAATTTCGCTTTTACATTTTTCAGTAATAGGCTGAAAATATTCTTGTTGAAGTTTTCTGGAACGAAGATCTATTAATTTTGATAAATGATGTGGAACGTAGAATAAGCTGTTGAAATGAAATGCTTTATTCAAATAGGATACATCCTAATATACAACAATGATAATAATGTTAACAATAATATACATATAAACAAATATAGGAAAATAATTAGTGAACTGTTTTGGATTGATTATTTTTTTTAGAGTTTTCCACAATACCAAAACATACAGAGCAGTTGGGCATTTAAGCACAGAAAATCAAATGATCCAACTTAGTGAAAACAGCCAATGTACACTCTCTAAAATAACGGTTTGGTGTTCAGATTAAACTCCAGTAATATTCATTACTACACCAAAGATTCCAAACAGTGCATCACAATTGCTGGTAGAGACAATTTGCTTTTCTGTTCTTTTGGAACATTTTTCTGGTAGTCCAGCGAGTAAAATACGATCATATTGGCTTATCTAAAACAGTAGAAATCTTAGCTAGCCAAACAAATGTAGAAGGCAATTCACTACATCTTCTCAAAGCACATTATTCTACGACCCAATGATCACTTATGGGGAGTGCTAGTACGCCCTTTGAATGTCGCAGCTTTGGATAAAGGGCCTTGTTGCCTATATTCATGTGACTATCATGTTGTCTAGTCGCAACCGACTAATAAATTCTAAGAACCCTATCGTCACCGCCCTTGCCAAAGAATCAAGTTGTAGGAAGAAAAAGAGTGTTTGGTACCTGAAGACAGATGATTATTTTTGTTATTTTAAGTCACTATTACTTGAGTTGTCTCGACGGAAACATGTAATATGTTTCATTACATTATTTTCAATATATTGCATTTTTATTCAAAAATAACTTGATTATGGCATAACATCCATAAACACAACAGGCCTGACGACCAACCACTTGAAAAAAATAATCCTAAAATAGTTATTCTGATTATTGGAGTCCATGGCGTCTCAACCCCTGAACCTCAAGGTCATACAAGGTGTACCCTCTAAGACAGTAATGAACACTTACTTCATGTTCTTGTGATGCACTGTTTGGAACCTTTAAAAGCACTTTAATCTTCCTGGTGATTGACACATGTGTCGAGGTGTTGAAAATAAAAGTTTGGTGTTTGAATAAAACTCCAGTAATATTCTTTACTTACTTCATGGTTGTGGATGCCAGATGCCATTGAACTCTCTGTGCTATAGGATTGACAAACCACGAGTATCAATGATAAATGAGGTTTCCAAAGGCAGTTCTTTGCAAGGTTGAGCTTTGGCATCGAGCACCGAACAAGATACGTCTCTTATCTTACTGTCAAGCAGTTTTGTAGTGATTGCAGTTCATTATATGCGGTAAAAATAAATCAGAATGTAGTTAGTAGATTCTCTAAAAAAGTAGAACTTTTTTACATCACACTTGATGATCCGATCCAAAAATGGATGGTTTGGTTTCGCAAAAGCAAAGAAGAACGGAACGATTGATCAAATTGAGGACCCCCTCTTTTCAAGTTTGGACCATCAAACCATCAAAAATCTCATGGCAGCTAACGCCCAGTTCTTTCGCCATCCCAGGCATCGTTTGGGATGGGTCTGTCTCCACCAGGATCCTCAAACCCTCGTCGTGAATTATTGTAAGTCGACCACTTCGAGGCTAAAATCTCCGGAACGAAATTTTGCAAACCAATATCGAACAGAGCGTTCATTAACAATCAATCAATCAATATATGCTTTATTGTCGGAAGATTAGTAACTTATTGATAAAGTCTTGTAATGAGTTAAGGTGAACATTGAAAAATCAAGTAGAATTTACAGGTTATCATGGTAGAATTCATGGATCGAATNGAGAGTATATTTTAGTAAACAAAATATATCTGCTAATATAAATTTGGAACACACGGTACACGAATACACACGGCAACATCGCAGAAAACAATATGACCAGTTTTTCGAAATGACATCAAAGGCAACATAATCACTTCTGTCACCTGTCAGTGATCGATACCTCTCGAAATGGCTTTTATCACAAATTCCGAAGTAGTAGCCCCAAAGCTGAAAACGGTCTTGACCCCGCCGTCGAAAAAGGCCCCGTACGAGATCCCTGAGAGATACCGCAACTCCTTCTACTTGGCGAACGCGGCGTTCTTCGACAGCACCAACTGGTTTCTTCATAGAGCCTTCGAAGTAGCCTTTCCCACACTCAAAGCCGATTTGAAGAAGATCCAACCAGAACTGAGTAATGATGAAGTAGCTGAGAAAGTCGAAGGGATGGTGGGGGTTCTCGATCAGTGCAACTCCGTGGTCGATGTGAGGTTTCCCGTCAGAAGGGAAAGCGGCAAGTATGAGGTGGTGAGAGGTTTCAGGGCCCAGCATGGTTTTGCTAGCGGATACGGTGCTTCTATGGGTGGTGAGTTTTTTAATAAAATGGTTGAAGTTTTCACTATTTTTCGGGTTTGAAGGCCGTCGGTTTTTGGAATTTCTTCCTGACGTTTCGCTGGCAAGCGTTGCTAGCTTCTTCAGAGGTTCATACATCCCGAGTTAATGACTCCGATGACTGGATATTACGGCTGCGTAAAGCGTATTTATTTTGACTCAAGTAGTTTGGTGTGCTGATACCTGTACCTCGATTAGGTACAAGTATTTGCATATCAAACTAGCTGAGTCAACATAAACACGCTTCATGCAATTTACCTAATCTAAAGTCTATCCAAATCCAAGATAGAGTAAAACAAAACAAAACCCAAGCGTGATGCTCACGTGATCTTCCAGTGTCGGATGGAAAGGGCAGCGTTCATTGGTGAATTCGCCTTCTTGGTACGAGTTCGGTGCCAGCACAGGGTTATAATCAGTCGTTTGTGTGGTGTGCGTTGTAGTATATATTGTTCAAAATTGTTTTCCAAGATGTCCAGTATAGACACTGCTGATGAAACTGTGAGCTATCCTATGAGTCCAGCCAGGAAACGATCCAAAAAAAGACATTTGAGTGTTGAGATGAAAGAAGTGATTGTAAATGTGTTCAAGAAAGAGATGGAAGAAATTGAAACATCGACTGTCGACGAAGCCATATCGAAAGTTTCCGATAAAATTGGAGTGTGTTGCGCTTCGATTTACGATGTTTTACGGGAAATAAACAAAATCATACATTTTCCAAACCGAATACAAATCGGAATCGTCAAACCATTATAAAATCAATAGATGATGCTGATAAACATGCAATCAGGAGGAAAGTGCATGAGTACTTTTTCAGAAATGAAATACCCACGATAGACAAAGTACTCACAGAAATAAATGAAGATGGTTTNTAACTCAGTACGTGTAAGTCTCTGAAGATGCTAGCCCCTCGCACCACCGAAACGTCAGGAAGAAATTCCAAGAATCGACGCCCTTCAAACTCGAAAAATAGTGACACTGAACTTTTTAATTTCCGACGAAGAAACATATTTGTTAAATCTTGCGTAGTCAGTTATCTGACGTAACTGAAACAGCGCTGTCTAGTGTTCGATTACGATACCTCTGGTTTTGGGCTATAGTTCCAACTGGATGCCTTGCAGTGAGAGCTGCAGTGAATGACAGATGACGAATCTTGATCGGCGGTCAAGGTCGAGGTTTGATTATGCAATTGACAGCCTTTGGGAGCGTCGTTTATACTTTGACTTGAATTGAGGCTTCTATCGATCCCATAGATCGATCCCATAGATCGGGAGATGTTTTCACCTTTATTTGTCACAAAATGGGTCCTTAAATTTGTCCCTGGAAGTGAATTCAGTTCTTCGAGAGCAGTAAACGTTCCATTTTAGCTCTTGCGATACAAGTTTTCTGTCGTTATAGATGGCGCCTTTGAAAAAATGTCTCTATCAACTCTTCCATTTTTGAATATTGGTGTTTCAAGTAAGTTTCGAAGCTTCAGGTTGAGTCCACATCAACAGATCAACTGCAATATGCTTTCAATGAGAGTTTTTTGCAGGTTTTAGGATAAACGAAAATATCACGAGAGACCACATGAAAGCTTTGTCCGTACTAACGACATATCGAAATGCCTGCATGGGAATAAACATGGCTGGTGCTCATGGCGGCTTGAAAATATGCCCTACAGATTATTCCGAAGGTGAACTCCAGAATATAGTGGAACAGTACGCCTCTGCGCTTATTGAAAAAGGATATTGTACGTATGTATGATTTTTACCATTACTGATTTCGTTAACAAATCAAATATCTAAGTGACCGTGCATGACATTATTTTTTTGTTTGAAATAATATTAATGAAAAAGTTTGGGGTTTTATCAGAAGTTCGTGAAGCTTTTTTATAATTTTTTGAAGCGCCACTGTACAATTTTCATCCATTGAGGAGGGCGTTCTTAGTTTTTAGTAAAATTGTACGCCAGTCTTCATCATTCATGTGGATCAAAAAATCAGTTTTACTTTGTTTTTGTTGAGTATGATTAGAAACATAGAAGTAGGGAGAAAGAACAATCACACATAATTCTTTTCTGTATTCATTTGCCATCCTTTGAAAAAAAATGTGATTATTAACAGGACATTACAAAGGAAAGGAACAATCGGGCTGTTCATTTTTTGAAGAGACACTAAAAACTACTCAATTTTGTATTCAAGGGCACATTTTGTTACTGTATCATCTATTCTATGTTATTCTACTGTTACGAGCCTTTGAAAACAGTAATAAACGGGAACAAACTTCATTATCTATTAGTTTGATATCAGTTTTGTACTTTCAAGTTGCACCTTCTTTCTTGTTAACTTCGTTATGGCAACCGCCATAGCTTACTATTCGTACAGGATGATAAAGATAACACATGGGCTAAAAAGTCCCGGGCCTAAGAAAGAAAATGTGTTTTTTTTGTTCAAAATTGGCATCATTCATCAACGTAAGCTCCATCAAGAGCTACACAATCATTCCAGCGTCGCTCTAACTTTTCAATACCCTTTTTGTAGAACGGTTTATCTTTTGCCTCAAAATAGGCCTCACTTTCAGCAATAACCTCTCCGTTCGAGCCAAATTTCTCACCGGTGAGAATTTTTTTGAGATTTGCGAACAGCCTGTAGTCGCTGGGAGCCAAACCTGGCGAATACGGTGGACCTGGGAGCAATTGGAAGTTCAATTCATGTAGTTTTGCCATTGTTTTGATTGACTTGTGACACGGTTCGTTGTCTTGATGAAAGAACATTTTTTTCTTTGGCAGATGCGATCGTTCCTTTGCAATTTCGACCTTCAAACGCTCCAATAANACTGACTGAAGAAGCGGTAGATTCAATAAGGTAATGTGTTAGGCCCGATACTTTTCAGCCCATGTGGTACATATAACACATTAAACTACCTAACATTACCTAATATATTTTGTAAAATAAAAAAATATGTCTTTTGTACTACCATTTATAGCATCGAATTCGTCATCCAATACGAAACACTATTTCGCTTTGATATAGATCTCGTAAATAGTACTCTGCTGGATCACGAATGCGTATTTGAGGCTCAATTTTCATGGAAGAAACAATTATGAATAAGTTAAAATGCATACCTTTCATTTCTCGTGCTTTGAAACATCAAGTATGTTGTGGATATTGTCTAGGTAGTGAGAGAGACGTGATTCAACCAGATGTCAATAGTTCTGCAAGAGAAATGTCCTGGATATCAAGATCGTTCGCCAAACACACAGGTGAGTAAAGAAAGTGCCTTTCTCTTGCTGATCACCAAACATTTAGGTTCAGTGTACGTAGCTGCGGTGGGGAAATCCCCCGAATGCGGGGGTTTAGGAAACTACAACGAAATGCCATCTCTGGGTGCATCAGCTGCCTTGGACTTCATTTTGACAAATGAGCAGCTCATGAAGAAATGCGGTCTCACTCTAGGACTGAAAGAGAAAACATTCATCATACAGGTAAGATAAGATAAGTTTTCTCATAACTAGCGAACCACCCCGACTCCACACCAATGCTGATACTAAATATGGACATATAAACGCGTGCGATCTCTGCTAATCATAAAGTGCTATAGGGCGAAGCGGGGCCTTCGATGCGCTATTTATAGGCACGACCAGCTGGCCCCCCGGCCGGTACCACCGCAACTACTAAGTCCTGCATTTTGAATTTGTGATATTTAAAAAAAATATTCATTCACATTACAGGCTATAGAGGGCCAAATGGATCTATATTGAATGCACAGTGTATTTAAGATACTTAATTAGATAAGGATTAATGCTGTATTGCCTAAAATCGCTTCGTAAAAATGAAAGGATAAAAAATGGGTTGAATTGAAGGGGTTATATTTTTAGTAGTGATTAATTTTTGGGAAAGAAAGTTTTTGGCTTTCTACTACTCCATCTTGATACAAAAAAAGGATGAGGGAATCTTCTAAAGAAAGGAAGGAAGTAATCGATTTGAAAATAGGTAACTTTATTCATGGATGTGTAGATCATGCAAAGAAGTAACTTACAGACAGAAACTGAAAGAAAGTCCTCCTGAAACAGCTACTTTCATATAAACATTGAATTACACGAAAGAAAAAAATTCTTTCGAAACAAATACTTCTATATGAATACTGAATTATACAGAAGATACTTTTCTCTACTCGAGTTGTATTTCAAACATTCGTTGTAGAATAANGGCTAGAGTTTTTCTAAAGAATGTAATACAACTGTTGATATTCTACCATTAATAGAACCATTAATTGTTATATTGGTTTAAAATCACCTTACAAATGTTTTAAATATCGTGGGGTTTTAAATAAGATATTTGATATATTTTTTCATGTAAACTTTGCATAGTAGTAGAAATAGTGTAGTAGTAGTGTTGTGTTTGAGAACACAACACATAAAAATTCCAATTGTGAAAAATATGTTTGAATATCTTTCTATTTTAGGGTCTTGGAAAACTGGGTACACCTTTGGCTAGATTGCTGGTGAAAAACGGAGCGATATGTGTTGGAGTCAAGGATCATGATGCTTATATTTACGACGCTAAAGGATTAGACCTGGAGGTACAAATAGAATGTAACCAGATTTTTCCATACTCAAGTGAAGACAGTTTATACAATTTTTGGAACGTTACAAGCTGTAGGGTAACAGAAAGACGAGATGACAGTAACCGAAAATTGTTTACAAATGGGGTGTTATTTAAAACTAAGCAGCAATCAATAATTCAAAAGTTCAGTTACTACTCTTTTCTTTCCAGCAGTTTTAGTTGTTGGATAGCTGTAATACTTTGTTTTTTGTATTACTTGTATTTGTATTACTTGATCAAAAACTTCACTTTCGAACAGGGCAATATTTATGGTAATTTTTTTGTTCATTTCCTTATTGCTTTTCATTGTTTTGATAAGCACATTCTTTGTTTTCCTTTCACATTCATCAGTTCTGTCCAAAAACATCCGTTCATTTCTTTTTTCTTCTGCTTTCTTCATTCCATGACAATCTTTGTTATAGTTCAAAGTATTTTCAGATTTGATGTTTTGGAATTTCGAGTTTGAAGTCGAAATTTCGAGTTGAAATTTTGAAACTGAAGTCGAAATTTTGGGACTGAAGTCGTAATTTTGAGATTGAACTCGAAATTTTTTTCAATTTTAGAATTTGAAGTTCAAAGTCAAAATTTAGATATTAAATTTTTAATTTTGACATGTTCGTTGAAATTTCCTTTTTGATTTCGACAATTCGGATTTGAAGTCGACATTTTGAGACTGAAGTTGAAATTTCGAGATTAAATTCCTAATTCTGAGATATAAGTCGAAATTTCCTTTTTGATTAAAAAATTTCTTAATTTTGAGCTTCNCACGGAGCAGTGCGACATCCTGGTTTTCTCCGCCTATCAGAAGAGCCTGAACTGTTACGTCGCCGACGGCGTCAAGGCCAAGTTGATCCTCGAAGCAGCAGACGGTCCTGTAACGCCGACGGCTCACAGGATTTTGACGGGGCGATCGAAAATTGTCGTTCCGGATATTTATTCTTGCTCTGGAGGTACCGTCGCTTCCTATTTGGAGTACTTGTGGAATTTGCAGCACGCTGGTGGGTTCGGCGAGGAAATTTTGAGGTACGAACATCTTCCACTCAACTGGAAGAGCAATCTCTGCGATCATTTATCATGCGCAGATATTGAATTCTGCCATTTGATTGGTTGTAATTGCATGGAACCATCAATAAAAGCCATTATTATTATTATTATTTTTTTTCACCGTAGTGTGCGCTGGTCAGGCCCTGTCCCCCGAAGCCACGATACATTCGGGAGGGCGCGCCAGCATTATCAACCAATGACCACTCCTCACACCGTGGGGTAAGTGATCATTGGGTCCGAGAATCATGTGCCCTGAGCAAGCGCAGTGAGCCAAGAATGACATCCTTCTGCATCTGTGCGGCTAAGATTTCTGCCTTAGTGCGGCAAGCCGGTATGATTTTGAGATTCGAGAGTAGAGAGGACATCATTCCACCAAGGACTCCAATAATCAGAACAACCATCTTGACAGAGTGATCTGGAAAGAGTCTGCGGAGATCGAAGAGAAAATCTCGATATTTTATCCGTTTTTCCTCCTCTTTTCTGACGATATTCGTCTCGCCAGGAGCTGAAAACTCCACGACAAATATCGTTTTGCTCTGGTGGTGGTGGACTACATCAGGCTTATTAGCTTATATGAGCCTGAGAGTTCCCCTTCTCGTTCCCCACAACGGATTCAATATCACCCGAAGCATAGGGCAACACCAGTGTCTCGTCAATACCTTGTGTCAGGAACCTCTACATCCATCACGCGACTGCGGTAGACTGAGGTGTTGAAGACACCATCCTGGCAAGCCATGATGAACCCCTCAGTTTCCGACTTCAGCCCACTCGACCTGAGAAAAGCAAACGTCAGGCGCTTTGATAAGCCAAGGTCTCCAATGTTATTGAAGAAGACCCCATGCAGTGGCTTATCCTTGTGTCTTCGTATCCTTGTGTCAACAATATCTGCTTTTTTTGTGTTATTGGTTGGTATTGTAGTCAATAACCGAGAATGATACGAAGCGTTATCCATAACAATAACCGAGTTTGGAGGAATATTTGGGTGAAGCTGCTCACTGAACCAGGTTTCGAATAAAGCCGCAGTCATATCTTCGTGGTAATCAGCAGACGAATCTTTTATATTTTTGGCCGACAGGAGCAAAGTGTTAGGTACGAAACCACTTTCATTCCCGTCATGCAAAATTATAACACGTTTTCTCTTTGAAGAAGGTGTGTTCAAAGCACAATACTTGGTTTCGTCTACCCAGCATATTTGACAACATCATGGGTGTCAAATCAAGTTTCGTCGAGGTAAATTATATGTCTGCTGGATTCTCGATAGCTTTTCATTCACCTCAAATATTCTTGTCGGAGTCGATTCCATTATGACCATCCGATTGTTCATTTTTTTATATTTGAAACCACAAGACAATAAGACACCTCGTAGGGTTTCTTAAGATTTGTAATTGTAATCGGGATAATCGAGTAATTTATACCAAATCATTTTCAAGGTTGGTACTTCATTTTTTTGGTATATACCATAAATTGTTCGCCGAATCACATCTTTTGTAGCACCATCAACGTTTGCGAATTTTTTAGTCCTTTGTTTTCGTTTCATTGCATGGTCAATGACATCCCCTATTTTAATGACTCGAAGAACTGTCGAACGAATCCGAATCCCTGTCGATTGACAGATTCCTCACATGTAATTTTATCATTTGTTTCAAAAGGTCTCCAGAAAGCCATACTGATGAAAGTACCCAAAAACACTAAGATTTTCACAAAAATCGGTTCAAACGATAAGATTCAAACCTTTGGTGTAAAAGTTGAAAACTTTTTCTAGAGATCAATTACCCTAACACCAAACTGATATTTTTGCACTCGACGCGCGTTTCGCTAACAAGGTTAGAATCTTCAGGAGAAGCAAATTGATACTGAATCTAAAGACAAGGGTTAGCTGTTTATAAGGTAATTAACTAGTGGAACCACTACCTGCAAATTAATTTGTCCGCTTTTTAATCTATTGTTGACAAACTGTTGACTGCTGATTTTTCAGCAGTCGCCCATCATATTTTGCAACGAAACCATTCCATAGACTTCAGTTCATTAAGATTAGTTAGACAACTTAACAACAATAGGCAACTAGATGCCTATGAGAGTGTAGAAATAAGTAAACTTAATAATATCATGAATAACGATGACGGAACAATACCAAATAGCATACTATATAGCTTGTTAAAATAATATTATTGGATTTACTGATTACTACATAAGGACACAGTGTAGAAATAAATTAAGATAGGAATATTGTGAAATTGATTTTTATATAGCTGAACATTGTCTTATATATAACTATAACAGTTGAACACTACATAAGGACAAATTGTAAAATAATAGATAAGGCAAATTGTAAAATTAATTTTTTAGGGAGGTATACCTGTATGGGTGGTATACCTATATGGTTGTATACCTTTATAGTATACCTGTATAGCATAAATAGCGTTAGCTTAGGAAAGTTTCCAGTTTAAACTTCCTCTTGAAGATGGTCACTTGGTGATCGAAACAAACACGTGTCGAGGTGTTAAAAATAGCGATTTGGTGTTGGGAAAGAACTCCAGCAATATTCATTACTACACCAAAGGTTCCAAACAGTGCACCATAAGTATATTATATCTAGCTACAGATATTTTATTCGATACATTTTCAAATTCATATAATCCATTATCTATTTCCAGTGCTTCCAGCGATGTCTACCGACATGCTTTAAAACAAATAACATGCTCCGAACAAAACTCACCTATTTCTGCAGGTCCAGTATCTGAAACAGCACTGGAAGTTGTTCCGAAAACTATCAAACCAGTTCTAGATGATATTGGAAAAGTATATTACAAGAAACCCTCATAAACATATTGTCAAATGTTTTCTTCTTTCACAGGAAATTCTGGAACTAGTTGACAGACACGGTTTGGGAACTGACATCAGGACAGCTGCGTATTTGGTAGCCATACAGAATATTTTCAGATCACTGTACAACCACAAGAAGTTCTTTTGAAATTAAACGACTTGTCAATCATTTGAGAAATGTTTTATTTTGTCCGGAGTTAGTTTTATAATAAAAATAGTACAAAAATAAAATACTCTTCATATCTAAATTATGTACACTTGTTTCTTATAAATATATGCCACCATACAGGATAATTCATTAAATCAAGGAAGCATGACCTCCATGTCAATTTATTATAATGGTTACTTTCTTTTTAAAACTTCTTCAAAATTCGATACTCCTCTTTAGTATTATTGAACCATCCTGTATGAAATCCTTGCCAAAAACCGTTAAGGATCGATACGAGGTATCATTGAAAACTCAGCAAAGAAATCTAAAACGGCGGTAAGTACTCTCTGTTTGGCTGCTGTGTTCCAGGAAATGGAGTACCAGGTCTCCCACCTGGATAACTGCCTCCAGCTGGCCCTTGGGTGGTATCTCCGCCTACACCAGGTTCAACCGTCGATGGAAATACAGCCCCTTGGGGATAGCCCCCTTGTTGCGTCTCCTGACCACCAGGTCTCTGATACCCTCCATTCTGAGATGCCGTTGGAAAAGCAGGTCCCTGGGGTCTTCCGCTAGGATATCCATTCGTTGTACTCTGACCGGGATATCCAGGTCTCTGAGCACCGTTTGCTCCACTTGGATAACCTCCTTGCCCCTGAGAACCTGTGGGTCTCTGCGGTTCACTACCCTGACCCGAAGGGGGAAAACTAGGACCCTCTGGACGTCCGCCAGGGTAACCAGCTTGTTGTCCCAAATCTAAAACGGCGGTAAGTACTCTCTGTTTGGCTGCTGTGTTCCAGGAAATGGAGTACCAGGTCTCCCACCTGGATAACTGCCTCCAGCTGGCCCTTGGGTGGTATCTCCGCCTACACCAGGTTCAACCGTCGATGGAAATACAGCCCCTTGGGGATAGCCCCCTTGTTGCGTCTCCTGACCACCAGGTCTCTGATACCCTCCATTCTGAGATGCCGTTGGAAAAGCAGGTCCCTGGGGTCTTCCGCTAGGATATCCATTCGTTGTACTCTGACCGGGATATCCAGGTCTCTGAGCACCGTTTGCTCCGCTTGGATAACCTCCTTGCCCCTGAGAACCTGTGGGTCTCTGCGGTTCACTACCCTGACCCGAAGGGGGAAAACTAGGACCCTCTGGACGTCCGCCAGGGTAACCAGCTTGTTGTCCCCCCGTTCCAGGTCTCTGTTGCTGAGTTGGAAATCCTGTCTGACCTGGGTATCCTCCTGGTCCTTGGGTTGGTCTTCCACTGGGATAGCCACCCTGTGCTCCACCAGAGGGATAGCCACCAGTAGTAGATTGTTGTGCTCCATTAGTTCCGGGACTTTGCAGCCTCCCTCCTGGGTATCCAGGCTCGTAACCTTGATTTGGGATTTGTGGACCCTGTGGTCTGCCCCCTGGATATCCTGTATCGCCCCCTGGGCCAGTTGGTGTACTACTGCTGGGGTATCCACCTGAAGCTTGTGGTACTCCACTAGAAACTCCAGGCCTTTGTGGTCTTTCCCCGGGATAGCCTCCACCAGGTGCTCCGGGTCCTTGTTCCGTCCCAGGTCCTGTAGGGAACCCTCCTTGGGGATACCCTCCGAAACCCTGTCCTGGTTGATAGCCACCTTGTGCCTGTTGAGCTCCGATAATGGAATAGTCGTATATGTTAGCGTTTATTCCAAATAAAGACGGTGCTAGGTTGCAGTCGAATTGGTTCCACCAGACGCACACCAGATACTCTTGATGGAAGATGGTTCCATTAGGGCAGAGGAAATCGTAAGTTCTGTTATTGGAGCATACGTGGAATACTTGACATCTTGTTTCTACATCGGCATAGTAACCTGGGTATTGCTGTTGGTCGCACTTGAAAGATGTCTCGGGAATGTAAGACAGGATGGGGTAATCTTTATCTGGTTCTCCGGGAATGGCAGAGTAATCACCACCCTCATATTGACCATCGGATGGGCCTTGACCTGGAAAAGCCCCTCCCTCTGGAAAACTACTTGGTTGTCCTCCTTGCCCTGAAAAACCACCTTGCCCTGGTTGAGAACCTTGACCAGGAAAACCACCTGCTTGTTGAGCTCCTGGGAAAGACCCCGGTTGGACACTGGGTCCTGCGAACGTCCCTGATGGTTTTGGATAGCCATTTTGAGCTCCTCCTGGATAACCGCCTTGACCATTAGAAGAAGGATACTGTCCAGAGGGCTGGAATGGTTTTCCAGAGGATATTGACCATTTTGTTCATTTTTGTTATTGTTTGTCAATTATTAGTTAAAAAAAGGTTTCAAATCGGATAACTCTACCTTGTTCCAAGGTTTTATAATATAAAAATGAAATATTCTCGTGGAATAAAGTAGATGTATCTTGAGATTTTTTGAATATTACTGTTTATAGCTTCATTCAAGACAATGAATTATTTTTTTGTTTGTTTTTGGGGGTGAAGGATGGTAATACATTAAAACGGAGAACATTTTGGAGCATCAGCAAGATTTTTCTTTCCAGCTGTAATATGCATCAAGTTAATTGCTGTTAATGTTGCTTTATCTTATAATAGTTGATTTTTGAAGAAGTAACTACTCACCGATAAATTTCCCAGTATGGAGAGAAAAACTGAAATAAAACATTAAATATTACTCTTCGTAGGTGGATCAGAAGGATTAAAAATGCGTTGAATTTTCCAAATTTTGCCAACATTACATTTCATTTATCTATGAATTTATCTGATAAATACATTTTTGTCTGTTTGGGAGGACTATTAAAATATGAAGAAATTTAACGCATTTTCATGACAGTTTCATGACTTATGTAGAAGGAATCAATTTTTATTAATGAATTAGTAATTAATTTGAACAGAAAAATGGCTATATCTCCTAACTTCTTCCACTTACATACATTTGTTATAAATAAAGAGCTTCATTTTCACTCTACTTAATTCAGTAATATACATTATAATATCGCGAGATTGGTGTACTGATAATTCATGATGTAATGCCAAAGTAAAACGTAACAAAAATGAGTCCAACTCTGCAGCAGTCTAATATTTTATTACATTGACTGACATCTCTTCGTGGGAACTGGCACATATCAACGGATTGTTAAAGTGCCACATAATTTGTGCAATTATTGGGGAAAATAAACATTATTATAATAAGTGACGAAATGAAGAAAGAATGTGGAAGCTTTTTATTGTTCAACAGATATAAGACAGACATACGACAAGATTTACTTTTCTTAAGCATCAGAACTGCAACACTCTTCTCGACGGGCGTTTCTAAAACCAAGTTTACGTCTTCAGGAGATGAAATAGATTTACTATTCCACTTATCTTCTGAAGAGGCCAACTTGGTAGGTGAAACGTGCCGAGAAGTGTTGCAGTTCAGATCTTTGGGATCAGTGCTCATTTTTGATTCATTCTATGTCAGAAATTTCAGTTCTACCTTTCAAGATGTAGGTACCTCATATGACAATGAATGTACGAGGTCTATTGAAAAATGAAGCGAACTTTCATTTTTCTCAAAAACTATTTATTTATTTATTAATTTCTAATTTGTCCCTTCCAAAATAGTGCCCCCCAGATATATTACACTTGTGTCAGCGTTTTTCTAATCCTGCACTTTTCGGTATGTTCTTGAGCTTTCTCAGCGAATCGCTTTTTATCTCTTCAATTGTCGCAAAACGCCGTCCTTTCATGGGTCTCTTTAATCTTCGGAACAGGAAAAAGTCGCAGAGTGCCAAGTCTGGTGAATACGGTGGCTGAGAAATGATTACGGTGTTGACGAGTGATGTAACCACAACCGTAAGGTTGTAAAGGTGGCCCTAAACGATTAATCTGCTTGATCAAACGATTGAGTCAATCGATTGATGCGTGCTTCAATCAATTGCAATCAGCCCTTCAATCTTTCGATCAAAATCTTCTCCTCACCAGAAATGGGACCAGTGCACACTTGTTGTTAGTTCGCTGGTGGTTCATTCCTGTTTCTGTTGTAATAGTACTTGCTTTTCATTTTCCATAATTCCGAACAATCGCGATATAATTTAATCAACAGGTTAATGAATTCCCGCTCAGAGTTTTCGGGAAGCTCAATTTCCGTAGCGGACCCCATGGTTTCCACCTAGTGACTGACGCAATGTTTGACAAAAATTGTCCTAGACGGCAACCCCCCTCCTTCAACCGCTTGAGTCATTCAAATTTTCTATCAATCACCATCAAGCCTCGCTTCAAGCCTCAAACAGGTTACTACACGGTCAATCACGCTTGAGTCAATCGATTGACTCAAGCTTTTAAATATATTCCCTAGGTGGCTTGGGGAATTATTAGCATAACCTACACATGCCACTATAAGACAATGTAGTCAATGCCGTTGATAATAAAAACAAAACTAAATTATAATAATATTCAATCCCATTTGCCATAATAATCATGCGTCAGCCCAGAATCATATCATTATAACAAGAAATAAATGAAAAAAAAGCCTTAAAGTAGTGAAGTGAGAGGTATTTTTCCAGTTCATGTTTTTTCTGACTGACGACGTGGAAAATATGGTAATCATTTTTGGGACAAATATCTTTTTGAATTCATACTTCTCAATAAACATATAGGAAGAAGACTTTTTTCAAAGAAAAGAATCAGAAATCAAATGCATTAGTGAAAACTTGACCCAGAGACATGTAGATCATGAATAAAACTATCTCTCGGGCACATACTGTAAAAAACTATCGGAAACAACTAATATCGGAAACAACTACTCTCGGTTTTGAACATTGAATTGCATGAAAATCAGTTTTCTCATTCAATGTGTACACCAAATTCAAAACTTTTAAAGGTCCAACCTAGAGAATGAGAGCTTTTCCTGTATGTGAAATTTTATATCATTACGCTTTTATATATATTATCTTGTGAAACGTTTTCATACATTTGGGGTACTAACTGAATAAAAAAATTATTTGTATTCCCTTCATTATCTACAGAAATTATTTTCTTGGAAAGGTCCTCGATTTGCATATGTTTATGGGGAAATAGAAAGTACGAGACTCATAATTCCCAAACACTTTTTCTCCCAAAATTTTCTTTCAGCAATATGGCAAACTTCACTAACGATAAATGTGATGAAATCATGCATTGAAGAAACGAAATATTGGAAAGAAAATTACCAGTTGAAAGTAAAGGTAAAGTTGAAATAAGAATTTTCTTGAATACATCTCTACAATAGTAGTTGCTGGAGTTTAGTCTACAAAACATATTCTTTACCTTTGACGTTAGGGATCTAGGGTTGAATTTTTTTTCACTGAGCTTTGTTAGGTAACAGAATCAATTATTCTCAGGAAAACAATTTTTTTTTCGAAATTTTGAATTTATTTAAATTCTTCTTCAGGCCTCGAAAGTGAGTATTCACATGTTAAATATATAATTTAACATAAAAAGATTGTTTTCCCTAGAATAATTGATCATGTCTCTGTTCTAAACTGTGCATTCTTGCTGTTTATTTGTTCAAATACTAATATTGAAGTATATCTCATGAAAGATTCACTTTTATGATTTTAACAATGATACTCCTCATGCATACATGGCTACGATAGAATTCATGAATAAATATCATTTTCCTTATGATAACCATCGGGCCTGATAGTCATCCTTGGGGCAAACTCAACAATAAACTCATATTTGGACGTTCTAAGTCTCAGAAATACTTTCTTCTATTTAAAAATATGAATTGTGTGTTACTGACTTACGTATTGATTCACAAATACTATTCAAAAACTGATATTCAGAAAAATTTCTCGAACCAATTTCTCAACATGAACGAATTAAATGTTCTCTAATAGAAGCAACTTCTTTTGGCATAACCTCTCGTAAAGTTGTGGATTTTACTTTTGACCTAAGCTGAACAATAATCTATCAACTAAAATCAATGCCAACAATAATTCGAGAAGATATACAGAAATAATAATTTTAGAAATTGATAATTTTGAGTTATTCAACATAAATCCTAGACTTTGGATTCTGAAAATTGGGTTTTTTGAGTTTGTATTATTTCCTTTTTCAGGAAGTAACATCTCAACATATATTCTTTGTACCCCAAGCTCAATGGATCAGAATACGCGCAGTCTCATAATTTTAAAAATTTCATTTTTGAGGGAATTCTCTCGAATATAACAGTTTTTTTCTTTGTAACATTCCTTCATGACATTACTTGAACTGTTCGCAAAAAATTTGACCTGATTTGATTGACAAATTCATGCTGAAGGAAAAATCAAACTGATGATTATTAAATACAGAACTGATTTTCAGTCTCGCACCATGTTTTTCTACACAAAAATCACCCATAATCTCCAGAGCTGAATCACATTTACCAAAAACCCCGCACTTATCGATCAAAAACCCACCTTCTTCTATTCTATTCCACTAAACTATAACAATTAGACTGAATCTAAGATGATCTTGCTACGCTTTTATAGAAATCATCCCCGAGAGCTGGCATCTTCGAAGAACTCACCTACCTCCGAAAATTGGCATGTTAGATAATTCATCTAGAGAGGGGCACATCGAGACAAATCCGCTAGTTCTCGATTCAGATCCGTGATTTACATGAAGATTATGGCTAATACGTGATCGTTTCTTAAGCTAGAGGCGGTATAGGATCTCCGGAACTGTGAAAACCTTCCGGAGTCTTTTTCTGTGAAGTTTTCGCTCATTTCCATGTTCATCTTCATTTTCTTGAGCGAGTTTCTACTACAGCGTAATGATGTCAGACTAGAATATTGACAAATTAGACAGTATCGACTGTAAATGATTTTGTGAAAAATTATGCAATTAGATGGAGAGTTTTATCAATTATGAAAACCAATTATTTTTCCATCAAGTTTTTTGACACGATGTATGGATTTCACGCTAACACTTCATTACATGCAGTGAAAACAAGTCACGCTTTGGACTAAAAAATATAGACAGCGGTTTACATTGAAAATAACAACACTATTATTCACAAAGTTTGTTTCTTTTTATCAGCATGTTAATATAAAGGGTGTTCCTTAATGAGATGCGAATATTCAAGGATCTAAATCTAATTGAATAGAACTGGCCGGTACTTGATGAAAATCCATATTAACCTTTGTCTTCCCGGGTGGGGTATAGCTGTACCCCAGATACACATTTTTTCTTATAATTTCAAAATTAGCGCCCGTCCTGTTTGGCTAATTTTATTTTGTGTCGTTTGGGGTATTGCAAATAGTATACGGTTCATGAAATCGGCAACGATTTGTCAAATTAACAATAAATAAATTATATTCAGATTGGGGTACATTCGTACCCCACGTGGGTGCCATCTGTTTTATTGTTGTCCTCGACTTTATTGAACCACTTGGCTTTGGGTATGGCATAACTACAGATACTTTTTTTACAAGCTTACCACTGGCCGAAAAACTACCACAAAAAGGACTAAGCCTTTGTGGTATTCCTAACGAGTTGCTACCGAAATCGTTCAAGTCCGTATATTCCAGCATGTTTGCTGTTGTACAAAAGACCATACTATGGTTTCTTATGTTCCCAATAAAGGAAAATCGGTTATTCTACTATCAACTGAACATCATGATGATGCTGTTGCTAACAAAACATTGAAAAACAAGCCAGATATTATACTGCATTATGATAATACAAAAGGTGCAGTAGATACTACAGATAAGATGGTAAAACAATAATCTGCTCGAAAAATATGCAACCGTTGGCCAATGGCAGTGTTTAGCCAAATATTGGATATTTCTGGCCTTAACACTTACATCTTATGAGGTATCAAGTACCTGGAAACAACTAGAGGAAAAGACGATAGACGTTACTTTTTTCTAGATCTAGGAGAAGCTTTAGTAAAAGAAAATATTATCAGGTGATATAATGAGAGAGTACGATTAAGTAAGACATTGAAGCAGTACATGCAAGATGTCGTGCCAGAGTTGGCGCCGGTGAAGATGCAAATAGAAGCAGCCTATGAAAGACCCTCAAGTGGACGTTGCTATTTATGTAGTCGAAATAAAGATCGTAAATCAAGGCAATTTTGCAAGCAATGCAAAAGTTTTGTATGTGCTGAACATTATGTCAAGAAAGTAATTTGCATCCAATGTCAAAAAATTTCAGACTAGTTTTCGGTCCAAGAATGTATTTTTAGCAAGAACGTCCTTCGTCGACATCGTCAAATCCCGAGCACCAAATTTTCATGCTGACGAAATTAATCGACTTGTGTTAAACTGGCAAAAGTGCCATGATCCAAATAGGGCTTATTTGGATTGAATTGAATGAGTATATACTGAGATATTACAGTTGAAAGCAGAGTTATAAAAACGAAGAAAACTTTTAAACAACCTTGTTCATTCTCACTTTTCCAAAGTTCATTTCTTTTTTTTTTTGGACTCT